ACATTTGCTCAAACAGTTGTATCACCGACTTTAAGTTCATGATAAACCTCACATTACCACCTTCACAAAACAGAATTGTGTCATCAGCAAACTGTAAGTGAGTGAGGGGGGTTTCCACCCTCCCAACCCTCCAGCCTCTAATGAGCCCCCTAGAATCTGCTCTGTGAATCAGTTTCCCCAAGACCTCCACAATTAAAATGAACAAGAAAGGAGAAAGGGGGTCTCCTTGTCTTATACCCCTACCGGCTGGAAAGAAATCTACCACTGTCCCATTCACTAGCAATGAATAATGACAATTCTAGACACAACCCATGATCCACTTACACCATCTAGCCCCAAACTCGAATTTAGTTAAAACTTTCCTCAAGAACTCCCAGTCCACCAAGTCATAAGCCTTTTCCAATTCCAGCTTACAGACCACTCCATTCTTTTGTGTTCTTTACAAACTAGATTAAAGAACAACCAAGTATTTTTGTACAATTATGTTTGTTTTCTCTTGGTATGGTTGCTGTTTGGTCTGTCTTCTTGCTTGAAATATTGGAAGCAATATCATTTGGCATGGCATGGTGTACTGCAAAACACTGGAAAATTGAAAATTGCTTCCAGTGCCTGTTCCAGTTCTGTGCCTAGCAAACTGATGAGATTTAGGACAACCTAAGATTGACATACTTTTGGTTTGACTGTAGCATAAGAATAGTGCCATGAGGTCTCTCCCCATTCCACATATTAAATTCTTTATATGATAATTAGTTTTGGGCCTAACATGAAAAATAGAAAAGTCTATTTTGAATAGGAAAATAGTTTTGTTTGTGAGTTAGTTTTAAATCTTGCATTTTATTTTCATCATTAATAAAAATACCTCTTGCTTATTATATTTGTTCTTTAAAATGATAAAAATATAATATTAGAGATGTGTTTAAAATTTTTCATATATATATATATTTTTTAATTTTTGTAATATTTATATTTTATTTATTTTTAAAATTTATTATTTAACTTTGAGGCCATTAGTTGATCCATCTGATGTGGATGGCCTAATTACTTACCCACCACTTAGACAAAAGAGTACCTTATTTTTGTGTTGGTTTTTTACATGTTTTATATTATTAAAAATATTGGATATAGATTTGATTATTAGAATTTATTGGTGAAAAACAAAAATGTTCCAAAAAAAAAAGTATCTAAGGAGAGAGAATGGGAGTCAATATGTTTAGAGAGGGAATTGAATGAAGTAGAAAGTAATAGTACTCTAAACTATTTTTTGCCTATACAATTAGAGGGACCAAATTCATAAGTGGTTTTAACCAAGAAAAGTCCATAAAGTTCATTTATTTAATGCATCTTGAATATAATATTTAATGAGAAGAAATGGAAATTGATGCCTTAAATATAGGACTTAATAAGAGAGAATAAAATGAATTTAATAAAAGTAATTGTTCAATTTACTGTCTTTTGCCTTCATAATAAAAAGGGATTGAATTCAAAAAATAGGAATATTTTAGTAAAAAAAGAAGTGAATCTAAAAGTCATTCACACTTTTAATAGTAATATAGATTTGTCCTCCAAATATTTCAAGTTACAGCCTCTAGATCTCTATTTTGTATGGAGCTATAGTATCTCGAGTTCAACTTCTGTCATCATATGGAAATAGTTTAAACTGCCTCCTCACATCAAAACCTATTATTGATTACGTCCCTTGCAAAAGAAAAATGAAAACAGAACATGATATTTTATTGACCAATCAAAATCCACCCATGAATTTTGATAAATAACATTTGATTGGTTATCATGTTTATGATTCTAGTTGATTGGTCAGAAGATTTTAAGATATCATATCTTTTCCATATCATAGTCGAACTAGGTGCAAGTTTTATGATGCAGAAATTCTGCATTATCACCATCAAGCACGGTATGCTTTTATAGGGTGCACCTTCATCTAAAAATAAATGTAGGGTGCACCCATTTATTGTTTGATTCATATGCTGATTTGATGGGATGCTGTGGAGTTTGGTACTCTAGTATTTTTAGAGTCTTTTTGGGAGGGCCTCAGCATGATTGGCCTGTGTTGAGTGAACTGCTTCTGATGATCTACCAAAAAAATCTTTTACCGGAAAGTTGATTTTTCAGCTCATATACGCACATTAACTTTTTGGATTTTCCACCAAACATGTTTTTAAGGCTTTCCATGTGGGGCCTACCTTGCATGTGAGCTGCTGTTGTGTGAAAGCTCTCCCAGATGAACACTAAATTTTTTTGGTGGCATGGTAAAATATGCGAATCCAGCTCCTGAACAACATAATTTTACATTAAAGCTTTCAAATTGAAAAAGTGAGAAACAATAAGTATCAATGTTGATACCGAGACGTTGAATATAAGAAACAATGAGCATCGATGCTTTGAATCCCTTCATATGTGAAAAAATCAATATTAGTTACAAATTCTCATGTTTACTTTTACGTCAGTACTAGGGAAGTTAATGTAGAGTAAAAATAAAAATGATTACATGAGATCACGCGCGATCAACCATTGACTCTGTAACTTAGGCTCAGTTTAGGAGTACAAATGCAAATATGTAGTGCAAATACATACAAAATATAAGGTTTTGCACTTTTGCATTTATACTCTTTCCAAACTAAGCATTAAGACTTCGTATTTACCCTTGGGGGTGCTGTCTTTATGTTGAATTTGGAGCCCATGCTCACATCAGATTTGAACAGCTTATTGCAACAATCTTGCATTGAGAGAAGTGAGATGGTGACTCATGACCTCACAGGCACATCCCACCATGCATTGGGAACATCTCCCGTATAAAGGACTTTGCACTGACCAAAATCGATGTCATTTTTATTAATAATTGCATTCTTACTTTTTTTTTTATACAAGTAAAACTAATTGCATGTTTACTTGGTACCAATGTTCTCAACCTCTAGTCAAACATATTGGCCAGACCGGTCAACAACCTATCACCCAGCCAAATCTCTGGCTTTTTACCCCTGAACTGCTTACTTGCAAAAAAATTTTATCATTATCGATCAATGACCCAATGATATGACTGGTTGAACCGATGAACTATTTGACCCAGTCAACAAATTATGTGCTAAACATTAATTCTCTTTCTGTTTTTTAATCATTCCCACCATTAACAACAACAATTCTCATTTATCATACTTCTTTCTATTCAATATGATAAAATATTATATATTAAAGACAGCCATTTTTTTTTTCAAAAATTTTATGTTTTTTATAATTTCTCAATTTTCATATTTTTTTATTATTTAATTTAAGATGTTGTAAGTTAATCTATTTGACCCAAATGACTGAACCACTAATCTAACATGTGGACAAAAAAGTGATTCCCTTTGGATCTGTTTTTTACAACGCTGCTTGATACTACAATATCAGCAAATACCCTTTTAGCCATTTTGATTCCTAGACATAACTTTGATTCTCGTTCTTGACCCTTGCAATCCACGATGATGAATATTTCTTATCCAGATAGACAGGACTAACATTGGGTAATGCCCCTTGGGGATAACAAGGTAAGGTGACAGTGAAACCACTCATCAAAGGAGAGTTGGGGGCAGAAAGATCAATGCACCCCCTCCTACTGGCAGAAAGTTGGCAACTTGAGGAACGCAAGACAATAGTTAGATTTTTCTTTTCTTTTTTTTTTCTTTAGAGGGGGGGGGGGGGTATGTCTTCCATGGTTTACTGATCTTATCAGAGCCAATAGTTACAGTATTCAATAAGCTTCAAATGCCTACAGTGAAGAATAGCCTTCCTGTATCAAAATAGGAGAAAAGAATCACGCACCATTACAGATTAAAACAATTGTAAAATCTTTTTTAAGCGTAACAACTAAAAGGCGTGTGAAAGATGATCAGGTAAAAAAGCTTCATTATCTAAAACTCTCCACAAAAGGGCACTTCAAAATGGAGTCTACCTGGTTCTGCTAAGGAGTTCATCCATTTGTCATATCCTGCCAAGTGGTGACTCAAGGACATAATCATCCACTAGCCAGAGCCCAAAATCACGGAACCGCTTTATCTTCTTCTCAAAGCCTGTGATATAATTATTATGGATGATGACATGCATCCCCTTAGTCTCCTCGACCCATGTTTTGTTCTTGAAATACAGTCCTCCTGTTGGGAATGCTGCTTGTGGCAGCAGATACAAATCCACCTGCAGCAAATCATTAAATATGGCTCTCTCAGCAAGTCAACATAAGAGCCCAGTATGTATAATATGAATTAAGCAAATAAATTCTCTCATCCACTGTATTATTTGTAATGCCTGAGGTTTTAATTAGGCAAAACATCAGCTATTGGATCTGAAACTAAATGAGACAGCAATTGAGTAGGGAGCAAACCTGTCCAGCAGTTTTATTTAAAGCCCAGTTGAAGGCAGGTTGGTCATTGGATTTCTTTATTTTGGACCATGGCTGATCCTGGAGTTCTTCAATCCACTTCTTCATGACCAGCTTTGCTCCACTAGTTGGTCGCAGGAAAATCATGCAGCTGCAAATATAAGTGCGCCCTTTCTTCCCTGGAGGTGGCAAATCATGAGAGTGATTCAAAGGTTTCACCTGTGACATTCGATGGATAAATTATGAACTTATAGTTACAAATACCATAAAATGATGTGAGCAACATATAGATGAGACCTCACATTTAGGGAGGTGGAGACTACCTATCATCATGCATGCATCATGCAGCTGTCAGGTAGCAAGTCCACCATTGATAGGTTACTTTGATCTCTCTCTCTCTCTCTCTCTCTCTCTCTCTTTCTCTCTCTCTCTCTCAGACACACACACACGTGTAAAAGGTTTCCTTGGTAATTGGGTCAATCAAGGAAGCTCACAAGATCTCACCCATGTGGAAGAATCTTGTGGCTAATACAGACTGTCTATCAGATAGGGGACCTTGTGGATTGGCCATGTGCTGGAAGTCCAAATTAGCTCCATACTGTTGGAGTTAATTTGAAAATTCATTAAATGCAAAGGTTTGGAGGTTGAGTGAGTTTCAGGTAAAAGAGTGTCCATTAATAGTATTAAGAGTCTAGTTATTGGGGCTAGAAATGGTCAATCGGTTATGTAAGTATTAATGTTATAGGAGTCTAAGCATCTTGAGTGTCTATAAAAAGGGGCTGAGTATGTGGAAGAGAGAGAGAAAAAGTGAGAGGAAAGAAAAGAAAATTGAAGGCTCAAAAGTGTGTGTAAGAATTCAAGAAGGCAAAGTCAGCCCAAAAGAGAAACCAAAAGTGTAAGAGGATGCGGTTATTTCCTGAGTGGGCTGCAAGCAGCTCTGTATAAGCCCTATTTGGGCCGTACAACTCCAAGAAAAATGCCTCCCATCTTATGTTTTTAATATTTGAACGATATTTTCAGACCCAATTTTGTTTGCATTTTTATCTCTATTTTCTTTAAAGATACTGTGTGGTGCAGTCTTGCACCTTTACATACCCACATGGTATTGAAAATTTGTCAGATTGCATTACTGTTCAAACTTTCAATTTTATTTCTTTTAAAAACCCATAATGGCCTGAAATTCAGCTCATGATTAAAGTGTGAAAGACTTTTGAGGTCCTTTTGGTCCCAAAACAAGTTGCCACATCAAAGATTCTTGGGTTATATAGACAACCTCACTAAATGATCCAACTAGCAATATATGACTAAAGAAACCCATAGGTTTTGCACTTTTGCTCCATGCCTTGGATTTTTTGTTGGAATCATGCACCAAAATATAAAAAATTAACAGGTGGTTCACTTAAGAAAGAAAACTGGGCCTCTATCTCTCCATATATGTTTCTTTGTAAGGCTACGAAATGATCTATAACATCTTTATTATATGCCTTTATGTTTTAGGAATTGTTGGAGGAGCCATTGCTTGGTGACATGGTAAAATCGCAGGCTCACAAGTGTAAAAATATGGGCGTGAGTCTAAGAGAAGCCACTTTGTACAAAAATTGCTGGAGGTTAGGTCTGTATCCATTCCATCCCTTCCAAGAGCCTAATAGCAAGGACCGGCATTGATAATGTCTTTTTATGTTTTAGGAATTTGGAGCCACATCCTATTCCTCTTTGGTGCCCATTGGTAGATGCTAGTTAATATCTTAACCTATTTGTGTTAGATGATCTCCTCTCTACTTGAAAAGGGAAAATATCATGTGGATGTGATGATGTGTCCAACAATAACTGCTATTTGAATGACTACAGGAGAGGAATGAGACACAGAAAAGGAACCAACACTTGATATTATTAATTACCATTCAGTAGTTCACCTTTGATATTATTAATTACCATTCGGTAGTTCTCCCTTTTCCTTTTTTCAAATTCTTCAAAAGCTTCACCTAAAAAAAACAAGTCCAATGCCTTACCAACCTCCATGTCCCTCCACAAGACTCTTTACACCCGTACTTCCACCAGAATCCTCCTCCACTGTAGCCAATGGCTTGATACCTATACCTGAGGGACCACAATCATCCACCTTCTCTCCTTTTTCTTCCCCTAAAGAATCAGACTTTTCCAACACCCCTTCAATTGAAAGCTTCCCAAGCATCTTCTGGATAACAGAACAAACCCACCCTGGACCTTCTTACTAGTGAATTTCAGATTCACCCCTCTTCTACCATACACTCTTTTATACTTGCCGCTGGATCCAGCCAGCAATAATCCCCACTTTCAGGCGTGAAAAAATCTTTGTAACATGCACAAGATAAGATTTGCTTGTACCTTTATTTCTCTTCAAACTGCCAAATCGTCAGAAACGCTAGGAGCTTGCAACTCCTTTCTACCCAAATCAACTCCAACTCTTCCCACTACCACTTAACTAAAAAGTTTTCACTACTATACTGACTTGGACAGTCCTTTGATGCAATCAGGATATTGAGTGCCTGAAAACCATAAGAGGCTTCACCAATTTCCAGAAGTGCTGCATGAGGACCCGGACTGGAACCAGGGTGGAAACATTGTGAACTCTCCGAAACATCAGATAGAGAAAGATCAGCACTTAATAAGGATGAGTTCAACAGGACCAATAGGGGAAGGAAACTCCTTAAGAGCCGAGTCCCAGGCACTTGCTCAAGGACTGAAACTGGCTTAGTCTTCAGGATGGACTAATTTACTTGTGCAAGGAAACTGCAAAGTGGTCCTAAGCTGGATGAAAAACAAAACAGAAGGTCGGTGATCCGAGAAGCAAAATTCTTGGCATCTAATCTGAACTGCTCATTCAAATGGATACCTCAATCAGCAAATAAATAGCAGATGGACTTATAGAGAAAATATACTGTGGGTATACCCGGGCAGCTGGGCTGGGTATTGATGTAATGCAAATACTTTTATTTTGTGTACTATATATAGAGTGCTACTGTCAGATGTTGAGCTGTTATGTATGGTCTTCTCTATATCTAGTTTGGGATATAAGAGAAGTTCTCCTTTCATCATTATTAATACAATTTATACTGATAAAAAAAAGATTTAAAGACTTTCCTTTAATGTTTCCTTTTATGGCATACTTTGGGGTCAGCCTCTTGTGGAGACATCTTTTACTTCCACAGATAGCCCCTCAAAGTTTGCCTACTCTCTTTAGGGAGCAATGGAGCTCAGTTTTTGATGGTTGCTCTTGGAGTAATGTAGGGCCTTTTGTGTGTATGCTGGTAGTGGCCTGGTGGGGGACTTTCACAGATGCAGTAGGAAAAATCTTATTGGTTTATTCAGGTCTTAGTACCAATTTGGGAGGGTTATCCTGGAGCCATTTTGGCTTTCATGGATTACAAGGCACAAAAAGGAAGTTGAGCAATTGAAATGCAGAAAGCCAGCCCCAGTTTCCTAAATGCTGAAAATTCAATGTTAATGATAAAGTTCTAAAGAAGCTTCTCCCAAATGTTGAGTGGATTCTGAACTGTTTTAATTAACCCCTCCCAAATGGACCTTTATTGTTGGACTAGAGCAGGTGAAGGTAGATGATAACTAGGTCTTCATCTTCACTGATTGGTCAAAGCTTTGGTATTTCCACATCACATTAGAGAGGCTACTTCTCTTTTCTTTCTTTTTTTTTTTTTGTGTGTGTGTGGGTGTGTGTGTGTGTGTGTGTTTTTTTGATAGATAGAGGCTAGAGCTCTTGCTTCCGGAACAAACATCTAGCTTAGATGCATTTAAAGTTGGCAGACTTTTTGTAGTGTGCAATTATGCATTCAGTATCCTTGTTTTGATCTACATGCTTCTGCAACCCCTATTTGGAAATTAAACAATTAAAATCATGGAAAGGAAGCTGGATGTACATACTGCAGCCATATCATCTGTGAAGTACACATCGTGATAGCCTTGGAGATAGGGAAACGGGTCTGCCAACCAGACCATATCGACATCATTATACATAACAGTATATCCAAGCTCCAAAATCTGCAGAAGGTGGCGAGGCCTGCGGGATGTAAAATTGAAGAATCCCTGCCAAATTAGATAAATCAGAGGAATTTAACAAGCCACTTGGTGAACATAGACACGAATCATTCCAATGGTCAGAACTCAGAAACAAAAAGAGAAAATAATAAACTAAACCAGAGTAAAGATAATAAAAAGTAAAATATATCTATATCAAGTCAAATGCAAAATATACAGCTAGTACCAAACTTATCCTATAGATCAGGTTATCCTTTGTTTACAAAGAACTCAGCTATCCAAAATGGAAACAGTAACAAGACAGCTAAAATTAGTGGTCATCCAGCCTCTTACGTACTTAGGGAAGAAGTGCCAGAAGTACCTGAGATCCAAATTTGTGAGCTGTCTGAGTATCGGGTACAGGCGGGATGAGAACGGCATGACCGGGCCATTTTTGATTTACCTTGTAGAGGGTCGCATAATCCTCAGCAATAACAAGTACCTGCTCCTGATGCTTCTGCCTGGAAATGCTGATCAACCAATTATTTAGAAACGGCAGGTAAGGCTGGCTCACAGCGCAGACAATAACTGTTCCATTTTTTGCCACAAAAGACACAGCCTGGGCCAGCGTGTAATCCCGCCATTTCGAAAGCGAGCTCCCACCGGCTGAAATGAAACTTTCCATCATGTCCATCCACGGGAAAAGAACACCCAGAACTACCATAAGAGACAGAAATATGAGAAGGCCAGTTCGGCTGAAGGGAGAGATAGATCTTTGGTAACCGCTCGTAGAACGTGGTGAAATTGGATAAGGATCCGCCAGAAGCTGCTGCTGTTGTCTTTGATGAAGAGATGACGGCATTGTGCGTTGTGCCTTTCGAGGTGACTACTGCGTCCAAGCTAATGGGCACCAGTTCTAAAATGTAGTAACTGTAAGCCCCAAAAAAACCAGTTCTACGAGATAGTATGTAGCACCAACTAATATTTGGTACGCTCTCCCTTCGAGACTAAGGAAAGAAACTGTCTGCGGCAAGAGCTCATATGGCTGTACAACTACAAATTTTCCAATGAAAATGGCTCCAATCTGTTCAATCTCATTTAAAATGACGAAATCTGTAGAACAAAATCCTATATAAGGAGCAGCTAAATCCCAGCTTTAATGAGATTGTACAATGAAAACTCGATGCCGACTACAGAATTGGAGATCCCTAAACCTCAAAAATTGTATCGGAAAAGAAAGAAAAATCCAGTACTTTGAACAGAGACAAAAGAAATTGAGGAAGAGGGAAGAAGCGCAAAATTCAAATCCTTCTACCTATAGCCCGGGATTCTTTGAGCTTGAGTTGACTCGACCAGATCTGAACTATGGAAACGTGAAACTTCTACGGATCAGTTACGCGCTTGAAGACTTCAACAGGCAGATCGGAATCCTGGAAGAGAGGCAGAGGAGAGAGAGAAAGAGAATTTATGTATCTATGTCGGTGCTAACTGCTAAGAGATGAGAATTTATTCATTCAGCAAATTGAGTTTACATCCTTCTACTCCGCTTATATGCGACGCCGCTTTCTCGTGCACATCAGTTTTGTTTTCCGGCCGCAGTGCTCCATCCACGCCGATTCATTCATTCCGGTTGTGAGATGAATGGGTCGGACTCGGACCTGGATAATTACATTCACATTAGGTGCCCATGATTAGCCTGAATTTTTGTCAGATCCACTCCTCCACCTCCGGATCAAATAGGACGGTTGAAAGCTTGTCGCAAATAATTTTGTTCTGTATGTAACGTCGAAACTCGAAAGGCATGGCATACTTGTAACTGCTGTTATTCATCAAAATTCAGCCGGGGGAGGTCGGGAAGGGGTCCGGTATCATTAATTCATACCTAGGTATTGCTTGGCCCTGCCACGATCCGCATTAGGTGCGGATTTGATACGGGTCTGGGTTGGGCAGGGCAGAAATCATCAACATAATCTGAAGCGGTGTGCGGTGAAGCCTAAACCATTTTATGCTAATAAAGGGAAAAGAATAACTATTGTAGTATAGACCCATGGGTATAATTATGTATGAAGAAACGTTCATTTCAAAACCCAATTTTAGAACTGGATCCCGATTCACGAGTGAATTTGTCGAACTGGTATGGCAGATTGGCAGCATAGATTTTTCTTTTGTGCCCCGTTGTCAATACTTGTCATGCGCCAGAATCACTGAGGCCCCGTTTGGTTCACTGGAATAGGGTCTGGAATCGGAACCCCATTCTCATTCTTGCTGATTTCAATTCTCATTCGTAATTTTATCTGAAATTCCAATTCCGATTCCGATTCCAAAAAATTCCAATTCTGATTTCAACTGTAAACCAAGGGACCGTGAATTGTGTTGTTAAAGGTCTCCTTCTGTAAAAGATATTGCATTTTAAAGTACAGTTGAGATGCATAAAGCAAAGAAAATAAAAGAGAAACGTAAATATCCTCTTGCCAAGTAATTTGGTACAATCTCGACATATGATCTGTAAAATGTAAATATTCTCTTGCCACATTCAATTTGATATTGAGGGGGATTATATTTTAGATTTTGAGAGGGGAAAGTTGGTCAGTGGAATTTTAATTCCCAATGACCAAGAAACCCATGATTTATGTGGGGACCAGGGAAAATGTATTTTACTCAAGGTTCAAAGTAACAACACGTATCGGTCAATACGTATCGTTCCGGCACCCCACCGATACGCTCCTACAGTGGGTGTATCAGTGGTCTGACCGGTTCAGGGTGTGGCAAAGACCTAAACCGGCTCCCCTGAACCAGTTGGTGAAAAAAAAAACCACCAAAAGGAGTATTGATACTAGCATACCGGATGTATCGATATTTTGAACCTTGATTTTATTAAGTATCGCTTACCCAGATATCCATCTCCAGGTGGGTAAATAACTTTTCTACCAGGGGGAAAGTTATCAACACTTGGATGGGACAAAAATGCCCCTTTTAATAATGAATTTTTATGGTTAAAATGGTCATTGTCTTATTTACCCGAAAAATAAAAGAACATTGGTCCAGGTAAGTGCATTTAACAAATAACTTACCGAAAAGCAAACAGGGCCTGAAAGATATGATCTGTAACAAACAGGGGGTCAACTTGCAAAAATCATATTTTCCATTCAAATGGTTTCAAGGTTGCAGACCAATTGGAATATTATAAGAAGAGATCAAGAGCAGCTGGTCTTTTAAGAAGAGATAAGAACAACTAGTCTTTCAATGTGATTTACGAGATAAATTTTTCATTGACCATCAATTAAATGGAATCCAATGCTCTATAAGCAAAGCGCTATACATAGTGAAGGAACGAAGCAGAAGAGGAAAACAAATGTACCACACAATCCCATTACACTGAAGAATCAACATGCAATTGATCAGGATGACATGCCTTGGATGACCTGTGGCCCAAATATGACAGATTTCAGAAAGACGCCTAATGAAATTCAGCAATTGGACAATATAGGATCATAAGACAGATTTGTCCTTGTAGAATACAAAGTATTGAAGAAATGTTTCTACCAGTCGGCACACATACACAAACTCCAACTGGGCAGTTGATGAAGGAAAGATGGCAAGAGATGGAGAATTTTGCAGGATGGTTTCTCTGGTTGTCACAACTTCACATGATTAATTTGCCTACTGCTTTGATGACTTGGGTTTGACAAAGAATGCTGACAGCATGCTTTTACTGCGAACAGTGGGGCGAATGATCTCATGACGACCCATATTGTCCAAGGACCTGAATGCCATCAATGACTTGGATCCTTCTGAAGTATCCTGCAAGAGGAGACAAGTTTATAACGGTTCCTACAATTCTACTAAGATGTTTAAGGACCAGTTGAAGCATCAATATTTGATAATTCAATACAATATGGATTCATGCACACTTTACTCCCTAAACTCCTTTTTTTTTTATCAGTACTTTACTCCCTAAGCTCTCACTGCTGACAAGGAAAGAAGAGGCTAACAATGGTAACACATTGGAGCATTTTACATTTTGTACAGTTGACTGAGAGGCCTAAATACACCCCAATCTCAAAAATCAAGCTTAAAAATTGATTTAAATTATCGTACTCATACTCAACCAACAGGTGTACCTAATCATGTCCAGACATAAGAAACCACCAGCTTGCCAATTGAGTTGTGTCTAATGCAGAAAACTAGTTACTTCTAGCAAAAGTTTAAACTCTAGGCATTTAGCAGATCAAATGTACATTGACTACAGAAACAATTATAGCAGTAAATTTCTCGTTATGGGGTATATAACATCAAACGTGGCTAAAAACAAGAGACATAATCAATCCCTTCAACATGAAACAAGAAGCCTGCTGTACCAACAGCTTAATCACAGAACTATAGATTTTCTTTCAGGGAAAAGAATTTCATAAATTAAAGTCTTGGTAACGTTTCCTTCTTCTTTATAGATAAGATTTTAATGGCAAATGTTGCACTACATGATAGGAAAGAAGTAAAATAAGGGAAGTTTTCAATGGTTGAGTATATAATACTGCCACCTATTTTTTTTTTTATCAATATAATACTATCACCTAATCTTTGCTTGTGAAACCTTGGAGTGCCTTTTAAACCACTGGATTGATCAGTTCAAATCCTACCATGGTTATAAGAGTGAAAATTAACTGAAAAGTAATAGAATAAAAGCCACAAAATAGAAAAAACTCAATAGCTGGGAACATAGTTTTCAAGGCGCCAAGGCAAGGCTAGGCGATAGGGGGGCACCTTGTTGCCTAGGCAATGGATTATTTTATGTAGAAAACATAGATCCTAGGGTAGTTCCCTAGGTACCATAACCATATTTCCTTAATAATTATTCATAATTTTCACAAGAAAAGTATAGAGTTCATGTTAAAGTATAGAAAATCAACATATTCATGAGAAGAAAAAGAAGGAAAAGAAAATTCAAAAAATATAGGGGCTGAACCCTTATTTTTGTTATAGGAAAAGAAGAAAAGAAAATGTGTTGATTAGAAAATGTGTAGTAGGTAGTAGTAGTAGTAGAAAATGTGTTGATTAGACAACATTTTAAGTTCTTCCTTACTTATTGGTTCGGGTTTTAAAGTCTTTAAGGGTTGAATACAGAATTTAGCAATGTTTATATTGATTAAACCCTAACAAATAAGAAAATAATAAAAAAAATTAGTATATAAACACACAAAATGAATATTTTAGTTTAATAGTGCCAATTTTATAATTATAATGTCAAAAAATAAAGAATAAAAAAGCACTTTATAATACATAATACAAAACTGTTTGGTGATTAGGCGAGGTGAGCCTCAAAGGGTGCCTTGTCACCTAGGCACCCGCCTAGGCGTCGCCTTGACAACTACAGCTGGGAAGAACAAAGTGAGAACTTAGGTTTCTTTTATAATTCACACACTTCATGGGAGCTAGGATAACCATTCTAAGCAATTACCCTCCCTTAGAGGATGGCTGGGGTGTTGACCCCACCCAAAAATTTGCCAAGTTTCTGTTTAAGTTTATATGTTAGTCTGTTTCTGTACTGAAAAACATTAATTGGGGTTCATATGTTTGTTTTTTCACTACCAAATTCAATCTTCCAAGGCTTCCACAGAAGGTCATGATTTGCTGACCATGATAACACCACTGCATCAGATTCTAAATCTATCTTCAAGTAAAATTAACTTCTAGAGTACTCGAATAGAGCTCCCAAACTGCAACTTTAATCATTAAACATTAAACACAATGTCACCAATTAAGAGATTAAAAATAGATTTCTGTCCCCTTCCCTGGTGAAAAAAAAAAGAGTTCATTTACTAACTTGCTACGTCTATACTTTAGGTTTTTTCCTTCACCAGATCTCTCTCCTACGTCTATACTTTAGGTTTTTTCCTTCACCAGATCTCTCTCCTTCAGCTTCAGCACCCTATCAACTGACATCTCCCACCCTCTCACATTTTCTCATGCATTTCTAGGGAAGAAAAGTATGACTTAATGTAGTCCTTTGAAATTTGAATAAAAGGTTCCACTGAAAAGCAGGTGAGGATCACACACCAATCCCCACCATGAGAAGCACCGGCAGTTCCCTAGGTTGTCCAGTGATTCTTGGCCTTATCTATACTATATTCTAAAATGCAGTTCAGACTCCTCATATTTCTTTTCAATCCCTTTAGAATTTTGTGTGTGTGTTTTTATTTTTTTTAACAATAAGAAATTAAATATGGGGCTATTTAAGCTTACCCACGACCACTTCAGTTAAGAAACTGAATGTATCATGAGCATCTTTTTAAAACCACCTCATGCATCGCACAGATCTCTTCTAGAATTTTATGAATAGATACTTGTTGGAGATTCACAATTTTCAAATAGTTTAAAACTTGAAACTCTTAATGATGCCTTAACTTTGTATCCTCAACATTTGTTTTGCTTCATTAAGTAGCACATTTAAAGTCCATAAAAAATAAAATAACGCAAACAAAGTTAAAGAACCATGAAAGCAACTTTTGAACTGTATAAATAAACACTATCCAATTCTGATAATTCTGCATCTTAAAATAGCCCTTATAGTATATGAAACAAAGTAAACAAAATATATCCAAAAAAGAAAGAAAAATTTTATGTAACCAAATGGATAAATTAGATATAATTAGAGCATAATCAAAGCAAACAAACTCTGTGTTATATAACAATGTTCTGAAAACCAGACTAGACCTTGCAAAAGAAAGGGTCCTGGTCCTTGTTTCTCCTGGTTTAAGCAGTTTAGCCTCAAAACCACCAAAACCAGATGGTTATGATTGGTCTGGCTTGATGTCCAATAGTGGCTCAACCAGTCAGTTTAGTCCAATTTTCAAAATTTTGGTTAAAAACATTCATGGTTCTACTTTGTACAATTCAATCATTCACTTATAAGAGTGTTGGAAATGTCTATGTTGCTTTAGGTTGCAATTGGATAAGCTTCAAAATTTGTGTTTTTAAAGCCCCAAAGCACAAAGCCACAGTTTTAGGCTTTATGTTGTTGGGATTAACGTGTTTTGACTTTAGATTATATTTTTAAAAGAAACACTTAAACACTTTATGTCACATTTTTTTTACCACAGCCCAAAGCTCAAAAGTAGAAGCTTATCCAGACATAGCCTCAGCTGTTGATTATAGCATTACCCTCTCTGTGACACAAAAAGTTTGCAGAACTGTATTATAAGAAGGACCTCCACTAGCTGAGTGAAGACAAGCTGCTGTGGATTTTGATGATACAGCTTCTTCAGAACCTGCAAGAACAAGAGTTTGCAGCAGAAGAAAATAATGGTTTAATAATGGGCAATGTAACTTCAAACAATAAAACAACGAGCACAGGAAATGGTAAAATGGTAAAACCATAAAATTATTAGTTAGAACCGAGAAAAAAAACTAGATAATCAACTAAATCTACAGAGTCAAGCATTACACACCCAACAGTTGGAAAACTCCAGAAGTTGCTCCAGAAGCTTTTGTGTCTTCCATGCTGCATTATAAGAAAATCTCAAAACCTTTAAGCTTTCAGATAGATTAGAGCAGCAATTTCATTGTAATACTTAAAAAAACACACAATTTATCATATTTATTTTTTGATAATTCAATTTCTCATAATAAAACTTACCCTATGAAAGTGTGCTCGCTCCTGTTCAGAGTGGATTTAGTTTCTGAGGCTAAATGCCAGGAAAGAGTTTGTGATGGAGGGTTGCCTGGTGAATGTGCACCCAACTAATAAAAATAAACTCATACATTGCATAAGACCCCCCCTCCCCTCACACACACACAAAATAAAGATGTGAATATGCCAAGACAGAAGGAACAAGATACCTGAAGGATGAAAACGAGGTCTTGCTTGAATATGCATTTGCCTGGCATCTATCTGTATCTGTGGACTAAACTGCACTTTCTTGTTGACTGAATCTAGCTTAGAATTTCAGGAAAGAAAAAGTTACAATTCATCCCATTATGCTAATTACCACTTGCAAACATAAGCAATAACAATAGTATTCATACTCGGTAAAATGTAATGCTTATGATGCCCGGGGATTACTGTGAACAACTGCTGCTGCCTAAGGCCTTCTTTATCCGTGTATATTTGACAAGTGAGAAGTTGCTAAATTAACATAGAAAGTTAGGTGAGCTCCTATCCACTGAGATCCTTTCTAGAGCAAGATTATCAATTGATAGTGCCAGGAAAGAAAGTTACTTGGTTAAGAGAAGAAACTTTTAGCTCCATTGTTGAAACATCTAACTTATGTTGTTCAAAGAGATCAGTTAACTTGTAAGTAACAGTTCCTAGGTGATCAACAGCATTGACAAGAGCTCGTACGGCATAGTCTTTCAGGTTGTCCAGCACCCTGGTACGAAATTTCCATCTCAGTTCAAAGAATAAGCACAATGATGCCAACAACAAAGTTACCATGCTCATGTTTATTTTTTTGGTGTTTGACAATAAACCAACAATTACAAAAAATAAGTATATAACTCATGTTCTACTTCTACATGAAAACGAAACAACTAGTTTGCTGTTGTGAGCTCCAAATCCTATGTAAATATGCAGTAATAATACTTTAGTCACTCCCTCCAAATATACAAATCTTAACTGAACTGTTAACTATGCAGTCACACAGATTTTGGGTGATTATGTTTTTTAGGTGATAAGAATTGCCGGGAAAAAAAAACAAAAAAACAAACCCAACTCCCTATTTCCAAACTTTCCTTTACCTTCCTGCATTACTCCCATAAATCCAAAAAGAAATAACAAAGACACCCAACCAAATCGACATGGAGACCAAAAGAAATGCAATGCTGAAGCTGATACACCAGGGAAAAAAAAAAAAAAGCGAACCCAACACCCTATTTCCAAACTTCCCTTTACCTTCCGGCATTACTTTCATAAACCCAAAAAGAAATAACAAAGACACCCAACCAAATTGACATGGAGACCAACAGAAATACAATGCTGAAGCTGATTCCAAGTAGTGTTCTTTGACAGAAGTGCCCTAGTCAATCCTGGAACTGCAGGGATTGGTGGTGTCTTTAGAAGGAGGGATGGAAGCATTTGGTGGTATTCAGTGGTCCAATTAAGATTGCTGATTCAACAAAAGCAGAGATCTTGGCTGCATGTACAGACCTCAGATTAGCAAAAGAAAGGGGTTTGCCTTCTTTAACCATTGCAGGTGATTCTACTAATACTGTTAAGTGGTTTTGGGAGAAGGATGGTGGCCCCTGGAGGTTGGCCATTACCTAGGCCAGAGATATCTTGTTTTGCTGAATGCAAAACTTTTTTGGATTCCTAGAGAGTTAAACTTTATGGTGGATTGTTTGGCCAAGTTTGGTACCCACAAGGAAATTTTGTATAGTGACAGAAATCTGCCTTGTAATCTGAGTGTTTTTTTTTTTTCTGCTGTGCATCACTGCATGTACCTTTGGAGCTCCTCTTTAATATAATCGGTTAATTTCTCTCCAAAAAAAGGCTCTTTTGTGTTGCACTAAACATAAATGTGCTAAGGTGCTCTTTTTGATCCTTTCCAAAGATAGCCATTCTAAATTGCTTTGTTTAATTAAAAGATGTTTCTACTACACAATGAAATTCTAAAGAGCCATAAATTTTCAACCATTTAGAAGTAATAAAAAATATTAAGGTAAAATGTAGGTGTTTAAGTATCTAGGTTTTGGACTTTGTGGGTACTCAACCATATTTATCATCAACTGTTTTGTTTTCGATAAATATATTTATCATCAAAATGTTATAGATATGCCTACAGCAGATTCTAACTAGGGAGGGTCTGTTATCAGATAAGGCCAGGCCAGAAAATTTAATTCTAGTATGGAGATCATGAGCATCAGTCGTGTAACATCTATTATGATTTTATAGAGAAAAATTCTGGATCTATGTGAAAAAATTATTATAAATATAATGTTGAGTCACTTGATTGAAATAAGATCTACTATTGTAGATTCACCATTTAATTAATCAAGTAGTGGAACCAATACCTACATGTCAAGATGGGTGCTTTGTATAAGCACATGCTACTAACTGAGCAAGTGGTGCATAACAGATACACACTACTTGTTTTTTAAGTGTAATCACAGTCCATATTTCCTGTTGCCAATTTTGGAAATGTTTAGTTCTTTAACATTAGAAGCAAAAGAAATCTGTTTTCCTATAAAAGCAACTCATTTATATGAACATGCATGGGTCCCTTTTCCACCTTATACTCAGCAAATAGTCACCAGTGTTTAATGCTTTGACAACTATACACTTGAATTTCCTTTCAAACCATAGAGAAGCTTTATCATGTAACAGGTATATTATTTTAAAAGTAATAGTGGAAGAAGTACACTTACATCTGTTTATGCTCAGTATGAAGATATGATTTTTCACAATATTCGGCAGCAGAATAAAGCTGAGGCCTTAGGTTCTTCAGTTCCTGAAAAAGACACTAGCATAATGATCAAAGCAGAATTCAAGCAATAATCTTTGCAACTGAAATCATGCTAAGAAATCTGTCTAGAAGAATAAGTTGCAGTGATGTATTTGGCTATGAGCTGATACTTGAGCTATCCAGGAAGTGGCAGATTTGTCTATTTAACCAATAACAGTTAAACATTAGGTTAAGCACCAATTAAATAATTTACATAGAAACATCTGAATGGCCTTCCAATAATAATAAAAAAACTGTATAGTTTCATATTACTAAAACCATTTCTATGGGAAAGAACTTGTTAAAATCTTTTGCATGCAAAGTAGCATTCTCTGATGAATTCACTTTCAGACAGGCCCGATGTAGCATTTTGATCTTTTCAACAGTTTGAAGGATGATTCTGACACTGATACAATTATAATCATGTTTTTCATAATGTCAATATGTAAGTGTGGAGAATTGTCTCTTCTTTTATTGTAATTTGTCCAGAAGTATATGGCCAATTCAATTCTTTGGCTTCTTAACCAAAGATCACGACTAATAAGAATTAAATTTCCATAAAGGACAGGAAAATTCAATGATCTAGTACAACTAAAAATTGTCCATGTGAGGTTTAAATTGCAACATTTAAGTTTTTAGAACCAGAGTTATACCAACTGCAAACAATTTACTGCTGAAGAATGACACTCCATCATTCAAGAAGAATGTGAAAACGGTGATAAAAAATGATAAGAGAGGTTATCTCCTCCCTTTGTACTCTATTTACTCTTTTTATTGATTAATGAAATCCTTTGTTATTGATAAAAAAATGATAAAAATCAAGTTACGTCTGTAAGTAGGTCTTTAGTCTGATTCTGTATGGTAATGAGATTTTGCCTTGGTAATTTTTCATCGACTTTCATTTCCTCTTTTTTCCTCTTTTTAACTTATTTTTCTATCTCTAAAAAAAAAAAGAGAAGTATGGTTGGGGAATCAGAAATATGTAAAATTTCAGAAACGAAAGGCTTATATCAAATAGCCTTAGCTTAGTATACAGAAATAAAACTGAAGAGATTAATTATATTATTAAGCTCACAGGACAGAGGCATGTCACTCGCAACAGCTCTCACATTGGAACTTGAAATGAAGACTTAAAAAAGCGAGGGAACCCCATAAACGAAGAAAGGTACAGATTAAAGAGAAGATCTAAACCGTGATTACAAAAAGACCAGAACTCGAAACCAAGTATTCTAAAAAACAATGTCATTCAGCTAATAGAGGCGCCAAAGTAAAATTCAATCAGACACTCAGGAAAATAAAATAAAATAAAAGTAGCCAAGAAATCTAAAGAAAATAGACAAACAGATCGAAATCTAAGAACACCAAAAACAGTCAATTTCAATGCAAAGAATCACCGGAAGTAAAAAGATCTAAACCACAAACCTAGCAAATGTCGTCAAGAAGAGGTAAGTCGGATCTAGAAAGCAAAGAGAGGAAAAAGGACAAGAAGCTTGACCTGTAAAGCCTTCACGAAGCTCTTGCTTCTCTCCATGGAAATCTCATCAAAGGTCATGGCCGAAGATTCCGGCCGTAATTGCTGCATTTTTAGAGCTCTCCGGGGATGAGATTTACAAGAGGGAGAAAATGCGGATACAGTGATACACTGGCAAGCAAAAAAAGTAAGTAATTTGATGAATAGATAATGGCGTTAAGTTTTGGTGGGAAATCTAACTTAAGCAGAGACTGAGAGTGGAGTGAAAGCAAATCCGAGGAATGCGTTATTATTGCGAAGTGAGTATTAAATGATTTAGTTATCTGTGGTGGTTGAGACTTCGAGGGTCGACACCTTCGCACTTTTGACAGACTTCTCATGGAGTTGAGTCATGCTGTCATGGTTTGAAGGAAGGAAACAAAACGGTAGTCGTCGCTTTCCGAGGGGAGATGATAATGTGTGCCAAAGATCTACACTGACGAAGTTTCTAGTGGGTTGTGTTATGATCACTAATGATCTGGTAATCGGGTCGGGTCCGCTATGAGCAGGGCCAATACAACTTCGAGTAATTCCGGATCAGGTCAAGTTTTTAGTTTAGGCTGGCAGAGCCTGATCCTAACCCCTAAAATATTCAGCGATTTTTTTATTAAAAATATGGATTTAACCATGGTTTCGAAAATCAGACCAGACCGGTTCATTTGGGTCCTGTTTCACCTTAAAACCGTTTTTGAACAAAAAACACTTGACTTACTCAGCGACTTGCTAATCTTTATAATTGAATTTGTCAACCGTTGACCCAAACAAAGGTTTTTGACCACTTTTTATATTTCAAATCAGAACAGGTCATTCATTCGAATCGGATGATCAGACCGTTTGACTCAGGAATTAGTGGCCGAAATGGTTTTGCACCCAATACAATTTCTAAAACCTTCGATTTAACCATACAAATTTCAATTGTTTGAGTCAACACTAGTTTGAAAATGTTGGTGCGAAAAGAGGTGATCTTGCGGTGATCCATGACCCAATCCGCCCCAAAACCTTTTCAGATCGGGTCGGGTCATGTCTTTCAACCTTTCAATTTGGATATTGGATAGAGACCCTAACCCACGTTTTTCGGATCGGGTCAGATTCACGTTGGAATAACTTTTGCCGTGCGCCGCAGACCGAGTTTTTCCACTCTCGGTCGTGTTGCTCACGTACGACCGATTGGAAAGAAAATGGGTGGACCATCTCTTGGGTGTCAGGATGCACGTGCACCGGTCCAAACTGAGCAAGAGCAACTCCATGGTGAGAGTTGAGACTTGAGACTGCACCGGCCAGGCATTGCTCGCTACGAGACGGGCTTCAGTCAGGGCAAATTCATGCTAACACCGTTCTAACAACCGTTTTCAGCCTTTTTCAACCTTGCATTGAGAAGTAAATACTGACCGAACAGAATTTGTCCTCACTGAAGCTGAACTCGCTCCACAGTGTGTGTTCCTCATTCGTACTGAGTGTAAATAGTTGTGGGTCCAATGATAAGAGCCTTATGGGCCCACGCCAGTCCAATGGTTGCTGAACGTCATGGCTGTTCAGCGGGCTGTGGATGCAGTAATAAGGTCCCGCACCAGTAATAAAATATGAGAGTAAAAAAAATTGGGAAAATCTATAATGCAGAAAAGATATGATATGGTAAGAATTTTGATTAATCAAAATCCATTTATGAATTTTGATAAATAAGATCTGATTGACTATTTCATTTGACTTGTTAAAAGTTTTTCAGATATCATATATTTTTTATATCATAGTCCAACCCAAAAATTTATGAGCATAAATTTTATTATTGGTTTCGCAGTCCGCTGAACAGCCATTATATTCAGCTAATCATTTTCTTATTTCAAGAAAATCCTATATACGGATTACCCCAGATATCCATTTCCCGCGTATCATGTGGTGGGCAGTGGTAAGCAGTTAGGCACGCAGCATATCATTTTAGGTTTGCTGAACTTTAGCATTACTTGGGTAAATGTATATCCAGCCTAGTCTTTTTTTTTTTTTGAGAAACACTTACTTGGATAATAGTATTGATCAGTTTTTTTATTTCCTAGGTAAAGGTGTATAATAATTTATCAGTATATCTTCTGAGGGCTACACAACGGGAGTAGCCTATCCACCAACCCATAACCTCCCAACCCAAGTGTAGGCGGGATTCGATCCTAAGTCTCCACTATGACTAATAGGAGACCTTACCTACCAGCCAATTGGCACCTTGAGAAAGTATTATTTCCCCACGTAGATAAGCCACTTGGGAATTGTTCTTTTCTGTGGAACCCACTAATATCGAAAAACTATCGTGAATTTATTTCTTTTTTGTGAGACCTATCAACATACCCGCCCCCACTTCTCGAAAAACAAACGAGGCCTAGGAAGCCAAATCCAAAGAGAGGGAAGGGACTCTGGCAAAATAGGCGTATTAGAAATGAAATGAGCCCAATGGAGGAAAAGCCTGCCGTAGGAGAGTTTGATTCCAAGAGCCATATCATTCCAGCACTGTTAATCAATCTCTCTATGATTTTCCTTTTACAATTCAGTTACATGCTTCTACAAGATATATTCTATTTTCGGATGGTGGCACTATTTTTAATTAGGGGTGTTGATTGGACTGGATTTGGTCCAATCCGATCTAGTCCATTACAAATGGACCAGGTCCAATCCAATCCAATGAATAATTTAGACCATTTTGGATCAGTCCAATTCAATGTTCAGACCGTCCAATTTATTCAAATTAATTTTAATTTAGATTGGTTTCAACCCAAACCTGTCCATTGACACCTATATTATTATCTTATATGATTATATCAATGGACCGGATATTGGTTTAATCTAACCAAATCCAATATAAATTTATTACAGATGAACCAGGTCCAGTCCAATCTAATAAATTTTTTGGACTGGATTGGTCCAATCCATTGTCTTTTTGGTCCGTTCAATCCGTCCAAATTGATTTTGGACGAGGTTCAAAGTATCGACAGGGTGCGTCAGCTTATATCGGTACTTTTTTTAAGTTTTATTTATTTTTATTTTTTCAAAACCAGTTCAGAGGAATTGGCTTAAGACCCAGCTACCCTCTGAACCATGGTCTGACCTGATACAACCCCTGGAGGGGTGTATCAATGCACATGGGCCGACCTATCGATACTTTGAACCTTGCTTTAAAATAATTGTGGATGCATTTTCCTCAATCCTAGTGTTATTTTAGGCGCGTTTGGAGAAGAACTAATGGCTATATATAAGTCTTCAGAAGGCGATCAAAGAAGGATGGGCCTCATTGCTTATTTGTTCTGATTCTCAGCTTGTTTTACATTTAGAATCAAGCTTATGTACCCTGGGCTTGTTTACATCTTTTGTGCTTACTTAAAAGCTTTTTATCGCAACTGGGTCATTGTCATTTTTGTTATGTACCAAGAAAATATAATGTTTTGGTCCATGAACTAGCCTAGTATGCTAAAACCTCTAGCCAAACTATGGTAACTCTTGACTCTGCTCTTAGTTGGCTTCCTTGTATATCTGACTTTGTTTCCTTTGTTTTATAATATAGTTCCTTTATCCATCAGAAAAAAAAACAGGGGATCAAAAGAATTTCCCAACAGATTTAAAATGAAAATAACAAACAACAGTGTTGTAACTTATAAGTATGCAAATACCAACTTCGTATAAAAATATTACAAAATATACAACAAATATCAAGGACAAAAAAACTCATCTTGGACGGGGTAGCCGACCAAATCAACTCACTTGGCACTGGGATCTTTGTCACAGAAATTTATACCCAAGTTTTCTACAGACAACTTGGCCATATTATCCGAGTCCAATTGGAAGACAGGACTGGATGAGTTGAACTTAGGAAAGGTCTTTGATAACAAAGTTGTTGTTTCAGATGATGATGTTCCCAAACTGAAATTCTTCTCCACCTTATTACAGAATAAACCAAACTTTGAAAAGCCAATCAGCAAACCTTTCTTTCAAGATCTTGTAGCACGCCTCAAAGCAAGACGTTGTTAAAAGCCAGATTATACCTCATCTTGACAAACATCACCAAAATGTGGAAGGGGAGAGGATGTGATCTCAAAATATGTAGCCTTTGGAGTTGAGGGGCAACCAAGGGCTTCAATCAATTCCTTCACATCTAGTACTGAAAACTTTGTAGGTGAGTTGGGAATGACATCCAGTACTTCTATGATTATTTTGTAGGATGAGAACTTAGCTTTTTGTAGCGTATTTTCACAGATGGTGCCAATTGATGTAATCGGTTATGGTCACGTATCATTTTTTGTGATGTATCAATTTTTTTTGGCTAAGTGCCTCGTCATTTGACCTACTCTCAGGAGAGGATGGTGGAGCTCCCTGGTGGTGAACTGGCTGGTGGTGAGCTACTTGGTGACGAACTCCCTGGTGGTGAGCTACTTGGTGACGAGTTCTCTGGTGGTGAGCTACCTGGTGACGAGCTACTTGGTGATGAGCTCCCTGGTGGTGAGCTACCTGGTGATGAGCTCCCTGGTGGTGAGCTACCTGGTGACGAGCTACTTGGTGACGAGCTCCCTGGTGACGAGCTACTTGGTGACAAGCTCCCTAGTGGCTAACTGCCTCCCTAATGGCTAACTGTCTGGAGGAGAGCTATGCCGAGCTGGGGAGAGCTATGCCGAGCTAGGGAGCTATGCCGAGCTGCCCGAGCTATGTCGAGCTGGGGAGAGCTACGCCGAACTCCCTGATGGTGAACTGCCCAGGGGAGAGCTATACTGAGCTCCGTGGTGGTGAGCTACCTTGGTGGACTCGTCATTTGACCTGCTCTTAGGCGGCCTGTAACTCAAGAGGATGGTGGAGCTCCCTGGTGTAGCGCAACCCAACTGCCCTCTGCATGAGGTGATCTCCTCTCCTTTGTAGGCGGTGGGAGCTGAGGGACCTGCGAGAACTCCATCTTTTCCTCCTCTTTGTAGGCGGCGGGAGCTGAGGAACCTACGAGAACTGAACCAGGGGGCCCGGGGGTATTTACCCGGCGGGGACTCTCCGATGCCTAAGTTAGCACTCTGATTGTCGAGAGTTTGAAGATGATATTAGAGGAATGAGAGAGCTAGAGAGCAGGGATTACCTCCATTTTTTCCTTCTCTCCTCCTCCCCCTTGCCTTTGGGGGTTGGAGTCCTTATATAGCGGTGTCCTGTCAAATTAGGCGTGACCGCCTCTGTCAAGTCAGGTACAACCGCCTGTCTCTCTGCCATCGTCGCTGTCAGAGCTGAGGCGGCGGGTGCAGGCGACTGTTGCAGAGTACGGCTCTGCCAGGCAAGGTGCCGCCTGGCGA